GTGCATGGGATAGATACAGTACAATACAATACAATACAATACAGTGATTTATGTCTTTGTGAAAATATGGACAACCGGATTGACAGAATACAACACTTAAGGTACGGAGAGAAAAATACAGTACAATACAGCGAAGTAGTTTACACACATCGTGTTGAATTGTATCAAAAGTTAATACAATAATACAATAGTTTCCCCCACACACACTTAGGTACTTTATATGTGACGCTAATACAATATAATACAATAGTTTATACATGGTGGTCGACTTGTCATCGCTGGTTTAGACAGATGTTCTATAGGGTTAATTTTGTCCTTTAACTGTTGATGCTATTTTTGTATCCTATTTTGGATGCTATTTCATAAGCCTTAATCAAAGTCGACGAGTTGCTTTTTTTATTTTTTTATTTTTTAATCTTCAAGTACGAGGAAAGTTGAACGTACAGGACCGACCTTTTAGTAACCGGGAAAATTCAGCGTCTTGAAAGTTAGAGAATCCAGGAAAACTACGTAATGACCCAATGAATATCCGGGCCCAGACAAGACAAGATGAATTACGATGGAACAAAATAGCTTACACACGACATAAAGCCACTCAGGTATCTCCCGTTTGTCAATATTTTGGTAATAAAACTAAATTCGATCAAGTCAGTGAAAATTCTACAATGGATGAAACCTCGACTTTTTGGCCGAATTTTTTTTTCTCGGTGATCTTGATCTTGTAGTGTGATTGATATTGACTAAAATTGAATTCAATAAACTTTTTTCGGTAATTTTGACTGAAAGTTAGGTGAATATTGACCCAAATTGATCGGTGTTTGGCTGTTAACTAAACACCAAGTAATGGAATTTATTAATATCGGCTCATAAATTTGGACTCTTACAGTGCTAACAGACAGGCAGATCAACAGACAGATCATCCAGATCTAACAATAACAAATTAGTAGTGAACTTGGAGTTATTTATTCTATTATTTATAAAAGCTTTTTCTTGTAACATATCAATATCTTAAGTTAGGTTCTTCATAACCTGGCAGAGGAAACACCCGAATCTATAAACAACAACAACAACAACGGGTAAATTTTCTTTGGTGTACTTGTGTCTGTGTCAAGGTCATACTTCAACAACTGACGTCTTCTAAAACACATCTCACAACCTCTTGTTTCCTTTTCTTCCGCCAAAAACTATTGACTTATATCACAGACATGTCCTTAACTACAAAAGTAATGAGCATTAATATATTACGTAAATAGATACTATTTACTCATACGTGTCTTAGTCTAATTTTCATACAACTTACATTGGCGGAGGAAAAAGTATAAAAGTATAAAAGTATAAAAGCATAAATTTCATTCACAATTACTCAAATAATGATGAGGGATTTTCCCGCCACCAGAAAAATAACGATACTGTATTATTTAATTTGTTTCAGAAGTAACAATGTGCTGTATAATATTTACCAATTTATTTACTTACTGAATCACTCATTAAATTTGTTTATTCTATCTAATTCACGGCCTAATTTATCCGTTTACTGATGACTCGCGTGAACACCTGTATGAGACACCTGTTAGTACAGTATATTAGTAATTTGTTCAAGATAAAGAAAATGTGTGGGATTTTCCCCTCACCTGTGTGTGCACCTGCATTCTACCGCCCTTCCAAGGTTGGCCGATGCTGTGAGCTCACAACACACAGACAAACAGACAGACTTCTTTGTTTTATATAGATATAGATCATCACTACATATAGCACCACCCATCATCACTACATATAGCACCACCCATCATCACTACATATAGCACCACCCATCATCACTACATATAGCACCACCCATCATCACTACATATAGCACCACCCATCATCACTACATATAGCACCACCCATCATCACTACATATAGCACCACCATCATCACTACATATAGCACCATCCATCATCACTACATATAGCACCACCCATCATCACTACATATAGCACCATCCATCATCACTACATATAGCACCACCCATCATCACTACATATAGCACCACCCATCATCACTACATATAACACCCATCATCACTACATATAGCACCACCCATCACTACATATAGCACCACCCATCATCACTACATATAACAACATCCATCATCACTACATAACACCACCCATCATCACTACATATAGCACCACCCATCATCACTACATATAGCACCACCCATCATCACTACATATAGCAATTCACCCATCATCACTACATATAGCACCACCCATCATCACTACATATAGCACCACCCATCATCACTACATATAGCACCACCCATCATCACTACCTATAGCACCACCCATCATCACTACATATAACACCATCCATCATCACTACATATAGCACCATCCATCATCACTACATATAGCACCATCCATCATCACTACATATAACACCATCCATCATCACTACATACAACGCCATCCATCATCACTACATATAACACCATCCATCATCACTATATATAACACCATCCATCATCACTACATATAACACCATCCATCATCACTACATATAACACCATCCATCATCACTACATATAACACCATCCATCATCACTACATATAGCACCATCCATCATCACTACATATAACACCATCCATCATCACTACAGATCGGTAAAGTAGGTTCCGAGATTCTCAAGACACACACACAAACAAACAGACATACTTTTGTTTTATATAGATAGATAAGATAGATCATCACTACATATAACATCATCCATCATCACTACATATAACACCATCCATCATCACTACATATATAACACCACCCATCATCACTACATATAACATCATCCATCATCATCACTACATATAGCACCACCCATCATCACTACATATAACACCACCCATCATCACTACATATAACACCACCCATCATCGCTATATATAACATCATCCATCATCACTACATATCACCACCCATCATCACTACATAACATCATCCATCATCACTACATATAAAACCAACCATCATCACTACATATAACACCACCCATCACCACCTACATATAACACCACCCATCATCGCTATATATAACACCATCCATCATCACTACATATAACACCATCCATCATCACTACATATAACACATCATTCATCATCACTACATATAACACCACCCATCATCACTACATATAACATCATCCATCATCACTACATATAACACCATCCATCATCAATATAACACCACCCATCATCACTACATATAACATCATCCATCATCACTACATATAACATCATCCATCATCACTACAATATAACACCATCCATCATCACTACATATAACATCATCCACCATCACTACATATAACACCATCCATCATCACTACATATAACACCACCCATCATCACTACATATAACACCATCCATCATCACTACATATAACACCACCCATCATTACTACATATAACACCACCCATCTTCACTACATATAACATCATCCATCATCACTACATATACATCATTCATCATCACTACATATAACACCATCCATCATCACTACAGATCGGTAAAGTAGTTTCCAAGATTCTCGTGCAGATACACACACACACACACACACAAACATACTTCTTTGTTATATGTATATATATATATATATATATATATATATATATATATATATATATATATATATATATATATATATATATATATATATATATATATATTTATTTATATATATATATATGGATAGATAGATAGATAGATATTGTCAATACCAGTTAAGCAGAATAAGGTGTCCAGTATATACAGAGAATTTTAGCAGACAAGTAAGACTGGGACTCACAGATTTCCATGTAATTTTCTTGGTCATATTTTTATTTATGAGATCCAACAACAAATTTAACTTTAAACTCTTATTTTACTCCACTTCCTCCTGCTCGTTACCTGCAGGAAACAGATGCACGAAAATGGTCAAAGTGATTCGCCATTATTCACACTTTGAGCGACTCCTGACCTGGACCCCTGACGTGAATAATTACCAAGCGCTTTTATCTTAACTGTGTTTATTTTACCAAGTGGTTACCTCCATGTGTCCTCTGTGAGTTTTTGTGTGCATAATACATGCGTATATTTTAGTATATATTTGGTAGCACCGAGAGCATCGTTGGTAGAACGTTCACTACGGAATGTATGCGTGCATGTGTATACACAGTACTGGACAATAGAGGATTACACCGTGGGATATTATTTTGTGGACGTCAACTTGCCACGGCTCAGGAAGGTCTAACCCGCCACCATCTGAATGCGTTAGAATCACATCAACACCCGACCAGCCACACGGTGTCATAGGAGGAAAAATGTTGTATGAATGAAAAATAAAAAATATATACAAATAACTGAAAAAAAAACCTTTACAATTAATCTTGCCTTTAATAATCGTTGCCAGTGTATATCGTTCGTTAATGTCGTCTTGATAATACAATCAACAGAAGACATCAATAATCATCTTGACACACCCCGGTTACCCTAATTACCTTAACCTAACCGCAACCCTCGACAGTGATATTAGTTAATAGCTAATAGGGTGATAACTACCCAGTAATTAAGGCGCTAATTAGACAAGATGGTGTGTAGAGGTAATTGACTCTTAGAGTCTTTCTAATGATCTGGTAGAGGTCATCCAGCCACTTGATGGAGTCTTGTACACAGTGTTTAACTAATTAAGGAACAAGTAGTTTAAAGAATGGTAATGTAGTTGGTTACTCTTTCGTGGTAGACGTAAGAGGCAGCAGCAGCAGTATGATTGTTACCTTGACGTATTGACTGTACGGCAGTTACTTTATTTTAAAGATTGTGAGTAAAAACACCCTGTAGTATTGGTTAGATGGTAACTTCCTTTTCGTATTAACTACTGGGCAATTACCTCGCCATAGCAGTTGTTGCCTTTTCATTGTGTTATTTACCTTATCATAATGATGGTTACCTTATTATAGCAGTAGTTACTTTATCATAGCAGTATTACCTTGTCATAGTGGTTGAGGGCGAGGGGCGTGGTGGGGCAGTAGGGGTTGGAGTGGCGCTGGTAGGCCTGGAGGTAGGAGGCGTAGCCCTGATACATGACGCCCGCCATACTACACTCCCGCCTGACGCCGCCGCTGCCTAGTCAGACTCTTCCAAAGTCCGACTCTCCCTAGTCCGACTCCACTAAAGTCCGACTCTCGTAGTAAAGTCCAGTCACCTACCGAAGGGACCTTGAGTTGAACGATTATTACGTAAATTTTCTCATCTACTCACTTCCCTTTCTTCTTCGTTCCTATTACAAGTTTACGTGTCATCCTTTGTCTTCAAGATTTATTCCCTATTCATGTTTTGTATTGTTCAGTATACTTCCGTCTCTCTATCTCTCTATACAATCATTTCCATTTTTCTTTGTTCGGCGTCTCATCACTCGTTTATAAATTATCTTTGATTAAAAAATACACAACGAATTATGTTATCACTTTTCCTTTGGTTAATAAACTATCCCAATTAACAGATATTTATCTCTTCTCGCGTGTGGCTCGTAAAGTTGTTTTTCCTTTTGATGATAAACTCGTCCCTTCCGTCCAGTCTTCGTTCGCTTTTTGTTGTTGTTTCTAAGAGATAAGTAATGTTTTACGTGTTAACCACCATCTCTTGTATATAACCGCTGTTGCCACCATCTAGGTGTTGTTGGGGAGGACTGTGACCACCGCCTCCGTCAGCGACCTCGAGAGATGGTATCAGCGTGGTCCTCTGTGCCCAGGCCTCCTGGGAGGGACTTGTCGCAGACCGCAGGATGCCCTTAACATTGATTTACGGCCAGTACGTGTTACATCCCCCGCCGCAGGTTGCCGCAGCGAGCCGTAGATTCCCAAGGTTTAGTGGAGTTTAAGTCCACGGGGGTGGCGGCATCCGCAGCCGTAGATATGGGTAGACTGATGCAACAGTGGGTCGCAGTTTCCCAGGTTTTATTAAGTCCTTTGCAGTAGCATCCGCAGGTGTAGATGTTGTTAGAGTGATGCCGCAGGTTGTGAGGCCGCTAGCGGACCCAATGACGCAGAGGAAAATGAGCTCTGCAAATAATTGCGGTGAATATGAGTTTCTTGGTGATGACGGAGAAGATTATGATGGTAGTGACAATGCGAGGCGCTGAGATTAAATTAGGAGGAGAGACCTTGTTGTTGGTTATCCTGGTGAGGCCGGAAGTGGGCTGGTGACAGGTGGCGGGAGAGGCGGCGCTGGTGGGTGGCGGCGGCTGGTGACGACGGGTTACCTTAATGGTGATGGTGCTATAGATAGTGGTGATGTGGCGGTGTAGTGACGCGCTGGTGAGGCGATGTGGTAACACGTTGGTGACGGAATGTAAGGAGGCACTGGTGACGTTGAGACAATGGTGTTAAATTGGTGACTGGTGATGTAGTGACGGGCGATGGTGATAGTATGACAATGGTGAGGTGACCTGTGCGGCCTGTCTCACCACTCACTATATATGGCACAGCACTAAACACTATGATGAAGCAGTTTTTCTCATCAAACGCTTTTGCAATAATAATTCTCAACAACAACGAAAATAATAACTAATTTCACACTGAATAAAATCTCACAGTAACACAATATTCATCAGTTGTTACAGTAGTTTCCTTATAATTCTCTATCTAAAATTCACTTGCTAATTTCTTCATAATATTCATTTTAAGTTGATGTCGTTAGTGAGGGACATTGGGAAACATTCTCCATATAATGGCACAATCGTTCCCTTCCGTCTAAGGTAACAATATATTTTCTATCACATACAACAGTTATGAATAATAAATTACCTTTTTGTTATTATTTCTGAATCAAATGAAAATAATTTAAATTCACCTCAACATATAGTTCTAGTGGGTCACGGACTTCACTGTTTAGTTACAATACACGATTTCTGTTCATTCTTTCCCGTTGTTTATAAAGAATATTGAGATTCACTCCACACAAAGTTCATTAAAATTGTTCAAAAGTTCATTTTACAATCACAGTTGTTGGCGTCATGTACGGTAGACTCGGCTCCTAGACGAGGTCCAGCCGTCAATCTCTAATTTCCTTCAATCAACTTGTTGCACTCCTCGAGCGCGCCAGAGGAATGCAGCGAGTTTTTTCCGTGGTTGCTGAGCAGTCAATCACGGGCGTAGAATTCTGTAGGGCAGCGCGTCCGAAAACTGCGGCGTTACGGCCCACCACCCGGATCACGGCCCACTAATCTGAGCTGATAATGCCTATTATTATCTTCCTCCGGGACTATCCTCTTATCCAATAGTTTCAAGTCAATACCAGTCAACAGCCCCACTGTTCTTGCGTCGCCATGGCAACCCAGCGACAGCCAATCAATAACCTGGATTCCAGGCGCGATGGGCGGGGCCAAAAGTGATCCCGCCTAGTCTTTGAAAATCTCATTCGCGATTGGGTGTCGCAGGACTCGCCCGGCTGGTCATTGGTCGGCGGTCTGTTTGCTGGAGGGAGAGGGATCTGGAGGCCTTGATTGTGGCAATACATTTTGATTAGCTTATGAGGTCGAGACGGACGAAGAATGGTCCATTAGATCGGCCATTTTGTCGTCATTTCGGAATTTGGCGCGCTCATAAAGGCTTTGTTGTCGTTACTTATTGCTCCATCAGAGCCTCTGGTCCGTGGCCAGGGAGACTGATATCGCTTTATAACCCCCGGACTGGTGCATGAGGGAACACCACTGCTGCCACACTCGCCATCACCATTAACACTGCCATAAAACACCGTCCTTTTCCTCACCCAACACTATTATAACCTTAATTTTGACCCCACCACCGTCATTACCTCCACGACCACTACTCTCAGTACTGTCTTTATCTACAACACCCTATTACAGTACCCTCATTATTATTAACTTTACCACATTATCACACCTATATCATCACCCCACTAATCCCAAACCAGTACAACCACCACCACTACCATTCATTCTACAGCCATCGCCACTGTTAATGTCTCTATCACCCTCACCAAAACCACAATTATTTTTACTGTTAACCACACCAGTCACTCCTCATGCACCGTCACCAAAAGTTCACCACATCACTTATTATCGCCTCCTATGCTACCGTCACCATTTTTATCAGCATCAACTCCATCACTACCATCACCATAACTACTGTTACCATCACTATGTTTATTTATTACATTCACCATCACCACTACTATATATACGTACATGATATAATAAAAAACTGAAGTTTCTTCTTAAATGAATTAATTATCAGGAAGGTGAAAAGGTTTTGTTAAATATAAATGATGAAAATAATTGTGTAGAAAACTTTGCCTTTTTCTTTTCTTTACGAAGACTAACAACCATGACAGCTTTAGGCCGTCCTGTAACTATCGTGCTGTAGGTGACTGACTCCAGCCAGTGGCGTGAAAGTGTTTTATACCATGATTGTGATTTAGTTCAGTGTTTAGGTGGAGGTTTACACTGACTGTTTGTCTGATTTATAACAGTCTCTCTCTCTCTCTATATATATATATATATATATATATATATATATATATATATATATATATATATATATATATATATATATATATATATATATATATATATATATATATATTATTTACGGAAAATCTTTCAAAGTGAGAGTACAGTGTACAATGTACTTACACTTCCAACATAATACTGAACTCTGATACACTTGTACACGAGACCTTCACTCTCCCCAAACCTCTGGTCCAACATTCATCACCAAATGACTTAACTCATCCTTAGACAGAAAAAATATGGTACAAATATTCACCACGCTAAGTCCTAGGTAATCCTTCCATAAAAATTTGATTAAGTGCAATTGATAATTTTGTATATAGCCTATAATGTAAATACGGTCATTAATTATCGCTATACCTTACAGCGACCAACTAATTGTGACGTCATAAAATCAAGGTGAGGTGTCTATACAGTTTGTGTGTCCCAGTAACACACTCGGTGATGATAACATCTAGTATGTTCACTGATGACCTCAGACGAATGGGTACTGGCGTGTATTAAGTCACTGTTCATGTTTAGACTTAATCCTGTTACGTCTTAAGGGTTTTTGGAGCCCCTCGGAGCATGGCCCTGGCACGACTCCACAATCAGTGGCCAGGTCTTATTCCTCGATGAAAACGAACGGCTTCACAATAATTGATAATTTATGTAGTCTTAATGATATAAAATGAAGATGGACGACGAAGATCGTACTCTTGGTAACATGAGATGATCCAAGATAATCTCATAGAAATTCAGGTGACCAATAAATGATATATATATCAACTGACTACACCTCCACTGACTCTTGTTGTCTCATCTGTCAATCTGTTGAAAATGTTGTTTATTGCCTTAATGTGACCATATTAAAGCCTTTGGGAAGAACCAATTTGTGATATAGAAATTCCCCCGAACAAAGACTTAATGAATTCTTACTTATAACCTTTATTATCCAAGCGTAGCCACCAGTTACCCCCTTTATGGATTTATTTAACCTGACCAAAAGGCCTAAGTGATCCTTGACCCCCTTGGGAGCCTCGCCTGACCCCGGTAAAGTGACCCCGGCAGCAGCTACAAGGGTTGGGGCGCTCTCATGGTGGCGCCGCTTTAAGAAAATCAATGTGAGGTGGGAAGAGCATATTGGCGTTAGTTCTTTGTTGCTTCCGTCGTCTTCGTCAGATTATGGTGCTGGTGAAACTGTGGTGATGATGAGACTGTGGTGTTGGTAAGACTGTGGTGTTGGTGAGACTGTGGTGTTGGTGAAATTGTGGTGTTGATGAATCTCTGGTGATGGTGAGACTGTGGTATTGGAGAAGCTGTGGTGTTGCCGAGACTATGGTGTTGATGCATCTCTGGTGTTGGTGAACCTCTGGTGTTGGTGAACTTCTGGTGTTGTTAAGTTTATAGTGTTGGTGAACCTCTGGTGTTGGTGAACCTCTGGTGTTGGTGAGTATCTGATTTGTTGGTGGGTTTGTGGTTGTTAGTGAGGTTGTGGCTGTTAGTAGGTTTGTGGTTGTTAGTGAGGTTGTGGTTGTAAGTAATATGATTGTGGTTCTTAGTTAGAGTGTGGTTGTTAGTGGTATGATTGTGGTTGTTAGTGATACGATTGTGGTTGTTAGTGAGATTGTACTTGTTAATGATATGATTGTGGCTGTTAGCGAGAGTGTGGTTGTTAGTGGTATGATTGTGGTTGTTATCGAGACTGTGGTTGTTAGTAAGACTGTAGTTGTTAGTGATATGATTGTGGTTGTTAGTGAGACTGTAGTTGTTAGTGAGATTGTAGTTGTTAATGATATGATTGTGATTGTTAGTAAGACTGTGGTTGTTAGTGGTATGATTGTGGTTGTTAGTGAGACTGTAGTTGTTAGTGGTATGATTGTGGTTGTTAGTGAGACTGTAGTTGTTAGTGGTATGATTGTGGTTGTTAGTGAGACTGTAGTTGTTAATGGTATGATTGTGGTTGTTAGTGAGACTGTAGTTGTTAGTGAGACTGTAGTTGTTAGTGGTACGATTATGGTTGTTATTGAGACTGTGGTTGTTAGTGATCTGATTGGGGTTATCAGTGATATGATTGTGGTTGTTAGTGAGACTGTGGTTGTTAGTGATTTGATTGTGGTTGTTAGTGAGACTGTGGTTGTTAGTGAGACTGAGGTTGTTAGTGATATGATTGTGGTTGTTAGTGAGGTTGTGGTTGTTATTGATATGATTGTGGTTGTTAGTGAGGCTGTGGTTGTTAGTGATATGATTGTGGTTGTTAGTGAGATTATGGTTGTTAGTGATATGATGTAGTTGTGGTTGTTGAGTAGTGAGATAAGTTGATTGTGGTTGTTAGTGAGACTGTGGTTGTTAGTGAGACTGTGGTTGTTAGTGAGACTGTGGTTGTTTGTGAGACTGTGGTTGTTAGTGAGACTGAGGTTGTTAGTGATATGATTGTGGTTGTTAGTGAGGTTGTGGTTGTTATTGATATGATTGTGGTTGTTAGTGAGGTTGTGGTTGTTAGTGATATGATTGTGGTTGTTAGTGAGACTGTGGTTGTTAGTGAGACTGTGGTTGTTAGTGAGACTGTAGTTGTTAGTAATATGATTGTGGTTGTTAGTGAGATTGTGGTTGTTAGTGATATGATTGTGGTTGTTATTGAGACTGTGGTTGTAAGTAATATGATTGTGGTTGTTAGTGAGACTGTGGTAGTTAGTGAGACTGTGGTTGTTAGTGAGACTGTGGTTGTTAGTGATATGATTGTGGTTGTTAGTGAGGATTTGTTATTGATATGATTGTGGTTGTTAGTGAGACTGGTTGTTGTTGATATGATTGTGGTTGTTGGTGAGATTATGGTTGTTCGTGATATGATTGTGGTTGGTGGGACTATTGGACATGGGTGAGACTGTGGTTGTTAGTGAGACTGTGGTTGTTTGTGAGACTGTGGTTGTTAGTGAGACTGAGGTTGTTAGTGATATGATTGTGGTTGTTAGTGAGGTTGTGGTTGTTATTGATATGATTGTGGTTGTTAGTGAGGTTGTGGTTGTTAGTGATATGATTGTGGTTGTTAGTGAGACTGTGGTTGTTAGTGAGACTGTGGTTGTTAGTGAGACTGTAGTTGTTAGTAATATGATTGTGGTTGTTAGTGAGATTGTGGTTGTTAGTGATATGATTGTGGTTGTTATTGAGACTGTGGTTGTAAGTAATATGATTGTGGTTGTTAGTGAGACTGTGGTAGTTAGTGAGACTGTGGTTGTTAGTGAGACTGTGGTTGTTAGTGATATGATTGGCAGTTTGTTGGTGAGGACTGTGGTTGTTGGTGGGACTGTGGTTGTTGGTGATGCCTTGATTGTGGTTGTTATTGGGGACTGTGGTTTAGTGATATGATTGTGGTTGTTAGTGAGGTTGTGGTTGTTATTGATATGATTGTGGTTGTTAGTGAGACTGTTGTTGTTAGTGATATGATTGTTGTTGTTAGTGAGATTATGGTTGTTAGTGATATGATTGTGGTTGTTATTGAGACTGTGGTTGTTAGTGATATGATTGTGGTTGTTAGTGAGGTTGTGGTTGTTAGTGATATGATTGTGGTTGTTAGTGAGACTGTGGTTGTTAGTGAGACTGTGGTTGTTAGTGAGACTGAGGTTGTTAGTGATATGATTGTGGTTGTTAGTGAGACTGTGGTTGTTAGTGAGACTGTGGTTGTTAGTGAGACTGTTTTTATGGTGAGTCTGTGGTTGTTAGTGATGTGATTGTGGTTGTTAGTGAGGTTGTGGTTATTAGTGATATGATTGTGGTTGTTAGTGAGGTTGTGGTTGTTGGTGATATGATTGTGGTTGTTAGTGAGGTTATGGTTGTTAGTCATATGATTGTTGTTGTTAGTGAGACTGTGGTTGTTAGTGATATGATTTTGGTTGTTAGTGAGACTGTGACTGTTAGTGATATGATTGGGGTTGTTAGTGAGATTGTGGTTGTTGGTGATATGATTTTTGGTTGTTGTAGTAGGGACTGTGGTTGTTAGTGATATGATTTGGTTGTTAGTGAGACTATGGTTGTTCGTGAGACTGTAGTTTGTTAATTGAAACTGTGGTTGTTAGTATTAGGACTATGATTGATGGTAGGACGGCTGTGGTTGTTAGTGATATGATTTGGCCGGACATTTGGTACTGTGGTTGTTAGTGACACTGTGGTTATTAGTGATATGATTGTGGTTATTGATGAGACTGTGGTTGTTCGTGAGACTGTGGTTGTTAGTGATATGATTGTGGTTGTTATTGAGACTGTGGTTGTTATTGAGACTATGGTTGTTAGTGATACTGTAGTTGTAATGATGTGATTGTGGTTGTTAGTGATATGATTGTGGTTGTTAGTGAGACTGTGGTTGTTAGTGAGACTGTGGTTGTTAGTGATACGATTGTGGTTGTTAGTGAGACTATGATTGTTAGTGAGACTGTGGTTGTTAGTGATATGATTGTGGGTGTTTTTGAGACTGTGGTTGTTCGTGAGACTGTGGGTGTTAGTGATATGATTGTGGTTCTTAGTGATACTGTGGTTGTTAGTGATATGATTGTGGTTGTTAGTGATACTGTGGTTGTTAGTGATATGATTGTGGTTGTTAGTGAGACTGCGGTTGTTAGTGATATGATTGTGGTTGTTAGTGAGACTGTGGTTGTTCGTGAGACTGTGGTTGTTAGTGATATGATTGTGGTTGTCATTGAGACTGTGGTTGTTAGTGATACTGTAGTTGTAATGATGTGATTGTGGTTGTTAGTGATATGATTGTGGTTGTAATAATTAGTTGTATACTGTAATTTTCTTTTACCTGCATAATTCACCTCTCTCTCTCTCTCTCTCTCATCTACACCACACCAGTCACTATGCCTTAATAAACGATTCTCACTTACCCACTAACCCATACCCCCCAACCCATACCCCCCTTCTACACACTGACACCCTGACTCCCTCATTATCCCCCTTATCATCATAATCCACCCATGAATCAACTTATAAACCCCCTCACCCCCCTCCCCATTAACCCACAACTCATAAATGATCACAGACGAGGAAACACCTCCCCCCCACACCCCCTCCCCACATCCATGCAAGAAGACTAATAATACCCGTCACTTGCCCCCCGCACCCCATAGTACACATGGATGGAACACGTGAATGGTGCATACACGTGGTGGGTACGCCTGGCATGGATACTGCTGAGTGCTGCCGCAGTCCTTTACACAGCAGAGTAATTATAGTGGTTTAGGCTTCAATATCGAGGGGTTTAGTTTTAGTGGTGTTCCAGTGTGATATTAATCCCATTGTGGGTTTCGCAGAGAGTTTTATTTGTAGTGAGAATGTTTTATTGGTTTATGTATTTTTGCTTGTCTGTTTGATTGTTCCTGTAGTGTTAGTTGAGGATTGAGGTGTTTTTATGTTGTGTAGGTATTTTGCTGTTGTTGTTTTTGTTGCTGTTGTAGTTGTTATTTTTTTGTTACTGCTGTTGTTGTTGTTGTTGCTGTTGTTGTTGCTGTTGTGTTTGTTAGTTGTTTTTTGTTGTTGCTGTTGCTGTATTTTTTGTTGTTGTTGTTATTGTTGTTGTTGTTTTATTTTATTTTTTTTTTAGTTTTGTGTTTGTTACTGTTGTTGTTGTTGTCATTTTTATTTTGTGTATTTGTTGTTACATTGCCGCATTTGCTGTTGTTTTCGTTGTCATTGCTGTTGTTATTTGTTGCTTTTGTTATTGTAGTTGTTATCGTTCTCATTGCTGTTGTTATTTGTTGCTTTTGTTATTGTTGTTGTTATAGTTGTCATTGCTGTTGTTATTTGTTGCTTTTGTTATTGTTGTTGTTATCGTTCTCATTGCTGTTGTTTTTGTTGCTTTTGTTATTGTAGTTGTTATAGTTGTCATTACTGTTGTTATTTGTTGCTTTTGTTATTGTTGTTGTTATCGTTGTCATTGCTGTTGTTATTTGTTGCTTTTGTTATTGTAGTTGTTATCGTCATTGCTCATTGCTGTTGTTATTGTTGCTTTTGTTATTGTAGTTGTTATCGTTGTCATTGCTGTTGTTTTTGTTGCTTTTGTTATTGTTGTTGTAATCGTTGTCATTGCTGTTGTTATTTGTTGCTTTTGTTATTGTAGTTGTTATCGTTCTCATTGCTGTTGTTTTTGTTGCTTTTGTTATTGTAGTTGTTATCGTTCTCATTGCTGTTGTTTTTGTTGCTTTTGTTATTGTAGTTGTTATCGTTGTCATTGCAGTTGTTATTGTTGCTTTTGTTATTGTTGATGTTGTTATCGTTCTCATTGCTGTTGTTTTTGTTGCTTTTGTTATTGTTGTTGTTATCGTTCTCATTGCTGTTGTTTTTGTTGCTTTTGTTATTGTAGTTGTTATCGTTGTCATTGCTGTTGTTATTTGTTGCTTTTGTTATTGTAGTTGTTATCGTTGTCATTGCTGTTGTTTTTGTTGCTTTTGTTATTGTTGTTGTTATCGTTGTCATTGCTGTTGTTATTGTAGTTGTTATCGTTGTCATTGCTGTTGTTATTTGTTGCTTTTGTTATTGTTGTTGTTATAGTTGTCATTGCTGTTGTTATTGTTGCTTTTGTTATTGTTGATGTTATCGTTCTCATTGCTGTTGTTTTTGTTGCTTTTGTTATTGTAGTTGTTATCGTTGTCATTGCTGTTGTTATTTGTTGCTTTTGTTATTGTTGTTGTTATAGTTGTCATTGCTGTTGTTATTGTTGTTGTTATAGTTGTCATTGCTGTTGTTATTGTTGCTTTTGTTATTGTAGTTGTTATCGTTGTCATTACTGTTGTTTTTTGTTGCTTTTGTTATTGTTGTTGTTATAGTTGTCATTGCTGTTGTTATTGTTGTTGTTATAGTTGTCATTGCTGTTGTTATTGTTGTTGTTATAGTTGTCATTGCTGTTGTTATTGTTGCTTTTGTTATTGTAGTTGTTATCGTTGTCATTACTGTTGTTATTTGTTGCTTTTGTTATTGTTGTTGTTATAGTTGTCATTGCTGTTGTTATTGTTGTTGTTATAGTTGTCATTGCTGTTGTTATTGGTGTTGTTATAGTTGTCATTGCTGTTGTTATTGTTGCTTTTGTTATTGTTATTGTTGTTCTCGTAGTCTTTGCTGTTGTTATTGTTGTTGTTGTTGTTCTCGTTGTTATTGCTGTTGTTATTGTTGTATTTGTTGTTGTTGTTTTTGTTATCATTGTTCTGTTGTTGTTGTTGTTGTTAGCGTTGTCATTGCCTTTTATTTTATTGTATTTGTTATTGGCGTTGTTGTTCTCGTTTTCATTGCTGTTGTTATTGTTGCTTTTGTTATTGTTATTGTTTTTATCAATGCCATTGCTGTTGTTGTTGTCATTGTTGTTTTCGTTTTCATTGTTCTGTTGTTGTTGTTGTTGTTAGTTGTTTAAGTGTCTTTTAGTAGATGGTGTAAGTGTGTCATTTTTAGTGTAAGTCAAAGAGGAATTATTATGGTGATATTTTGAGTGCCTTATCTTCCTCATTGTCTTTCTCTCCTTCTCTCTCTTTCCTACCACCCCTCGCATTTTCTCTCTCTCTCTCTCTCTCTCTCTCTCTCTCTCTCTCTCTCTCTCTCTCTCTCTCTCTCTCTCTCTCTCTCTCTCTTTCCTTCTCTTTCTCTCTCTCTTTCTTTCTTTCTCTTTGTCCCCCTCGCTTTCGCTCTCTCTCTCCCTCTTTCTTTCTTCCTCTTCTCTCTCTCTCTCTCTTTCTTTCTCCCCCCCTCTCTCTCTCTTTCTCTCTCTGTTCCTCTTCTCTCTGTCTCTCTCACTCTTTCTCTCTGTCTGTCTGTCTGTCTCTCTCTCTTTTTGTATTTCTCTATCTGTCTGTCTCTCCCTCTCTTTCTCTCTCTTCTATATTTTTCTGTCTCTCCGTCTTTCTTTCTCGAGAAAAAGAGAGACAAAAGGAAAGGATATCTCTCTCTCTCTCTCTCTCTCTCTCTCTCTCTCTCTCTCTCTCTCTCTCTCTCTCTCTCTCTCTCCCTCTCTCTCTCTTTCTCTCTCATAAATTTAACCCTTTAGAGGGCTGAATAAATAGCTAAGTGCGCCGCTTCCCTCTAAAAGGTTAAACAAATATTTCACTGTTTTAGTTGCTCTAAGGCGTCTTGTGCTGTAAGGTAATAACACCAGCAGGTAACTTGCTCTTGTGGGTCGTGATAATCAAGGTTATTTATAGTAATATAGCATTATAATAAGAGTATATAAAAGAAGTATACATATTGCTTACTTATTACACTGTAAACACGCCGATTCGCTCATCAGATTTTATAAGACTACTGAAGGAATTAAGAATTATACCCAACGGCTTTAGTATTAAAGTTAATAAATTTTTTTTGTATAAAATATTAAGTTGGCAGCAATGTTCACCCCCACGTGTTGTAGCGCGGGTCTGGTGTTGAAAATGGAGAGTTATCTTCTTATAGTGTAGACCTACATACAAATATTTCTTTGGTATATATTTTTTCTAGTTCCTGCATAATAACACAATGAACAATCAATATTGTAGTAAAAATTGTCGCTGGAGGCCTCACAACAATACTCCGTGTATAGGTTCTGGCCTCTGAAGCAATTGTGTTCTGGCCTTGGTGTCTTGCCTCAACCTCATAGTCTTTTAGTCGGCGTAGTTGTTAGAGGCACTGGGGCTTAGAAGAAAGAAAATGGCTTTCATGAATATACACAATGACAGCGGCAATACGTGTGACTATGTTTATAAAGTTGCTTGGGACTAAAGTTTGGGGAACAAGATGAACTATTCTGTTTTTCCGTTTCAGACACATTACCTTGATACGTAATGATCGGTGATGTTTTGTGAGCTGCACCACATTTAATATGCATCACCACACCGCCCTCAGAACCGCCCTGCATTCCTGCCACGAGATGGCCGCCCCCTCCACCTCGTAATGCAGGACCTGACCACCGCTGACTGTCGGGTCCGCAGGTCCTCAAAGTTACCAGATGTTCAGGTCACCGAATATTTAGAGATCTTCAGGTCCACTTCTCCAAACGCTGTTGAATGTTCAATACCGCAACGCCTTAACATAACAGTGGTAATGTTTTAAGATCTGCTTCACTGGTTTCTGGGTAATCAAATCCACGTTTTTTTTTCTTCTTCAGCTCCCGAGGTCTTTCAACCTTCATGTCTGCAAGTTCTTGAAATTTCAGATTCCTCGCTCATCGTACTTGGTTTTATTTATTTTTCTTTCTTTTTTTTTCTACTGACCCTCGATTTTTCTTTATTCGATGGTGTTGAACTCCATTGAATTTACATCTTATCTAAAGTTAGAGTCTTAGATTATCTGTTCATCGGTCTTTGTTCTATCTCCTGGTCTAAGTACTCTAGACCTGGAGGACCCGGAGGTCGACGGGTCTCACGGCTCTTATCTGATGCCAGAGTTCTTGAGCTGTTAGCAGCCTCTCAACCTTCAAGTCAATCTGAGCATCAAACTCTTCAAATATGTGGACTATAGGTTTATGACTAATGGTAACAGCTAAGAGAAGAATTCGTGAAAAAAAAAGACTAGAGAAAGAGGAGAAAGTCAGAGGTGTGTTGATCTCCCAGGAATCAATTTCCCACCACCAGTTTAATCTGCCATCAAGGTTCATAATAGCATGTCACTTCCAATTACTGTTGTTTGTTAAGAAAAAATTATAACACAGGCAAAAGTTTCCCTTCGTCAAGGTAACGCCACA